ATTTTATAACGGGCTTATTTTTTTGAAGTATTGAAATTCTTTGAATCACGTTTTTTCCAGATGCTACGTGAAAAGTTTCGTGTGAATCGGACAAAGTGCATAGGAAATACACGAAAAAGTAGTTTATAGACATTTTGGGCTCTAGCAAAAAAAAATCTCTAGGCGAAAATGGGCGTGGCCTATATGGGGAGATTCAGCTCCATTCACTGAACGCGTGGATATAAGGTTTTTGAATGTGTGACAAAAGATGCAGAAGTTATTAGCCTAAATGCAATTTCTTGACAATAGCGCCACCTAGTGGCTGACCCAAAAGCGACGCATAGAATATAACATTTTTCGCCAGGCCTGACAACTTTGCCAAATAAAATTGACTTTTCCGTATACTGTTCAGGGGGGGCAAAAAAAAACGCCAGTCGACGAAGGCGCTAAAAATAAGAAGAAACAAAAATAGCAGTTTCAATAGGGACCTCCAGCGGTCGCTGGCTCGGTCCCTAAAAAAAACCCAAAGCCATATTTCTCTAGTAGTCTCTTTAAGCCCCGCTCTCTAAAAAGCCCACTTTCTTCTGATGGGCCAATTTATTTATCAGACCACAACTATTAGGTCGGAAAAATGGTAGGGATGGTTTCTGGGGGCTGGGCTGTACAAAAACACCATTTTATTCAGTCATTTTGGTGAAACTGGATCATATTTTATGGAGAAAATATTTTCCGGTCTTCCCTGTGATGTCCTCGGGCTGCTCTGCTCCAACATTGAGAGAGTGCTCACATGCCTAATATACCTCTAGCTACTTCAATAAGTGAAGCCATCTTCGTAAATAACCAAGATTTGAGGGGGAGACCTCCGAAGGAATAGCAGAAAATACTTTACTTCCATCACAACCAAAGAAGCACTTTGACAAAATAAGAGAAATCATAATAGGTCCCTTTAAATATTTTTTTTCTTAATCGTAATACCTTGCTGGCAGCAGCACTTTGGGTCTTCCTGGGTGGGGCAGAGGATTTGGGTGCAGCTTCAGCAGAGGGAGGAGCTTTAGCTGCTGGCTTCTTGTCCCCACCTCCACCTCCTGCACCCTTCTTCCCTCCAGCAAGCTCCACTTTATCAGCACTCTCCTTTATCTGTTAGCATAAGACAGAGAACAGAGGTTAGCACTTCGTTAAGAAAACTGGGCTCTTCCTCCTGGTTGAAACTGATCCTAGCTGATGATGCGTTTCCTCTTCCTTCAACTCTTTTGCTGATCCTTACCTTATCCAGTTTGAGTTTATCCAAGTCAGTCAGGAAAGGGTTCACTGCTTTCTCTCCCACCACTTTCATTGCTGTCCCCAAAGCTTCGAAGGCGGCGTCACGCACTTCTGGAGCTGAGTCGTTGACTTGCTGAGATGGTTAAAGAGGAGAGGACAGGGACATTACAAATGGGAGCCAAGAGAACTTCCATTCCATTTTAAACCAGCGAACATCATCTCACACTTAGCTATGTCTTTAATCCTATGGCCCAGTTCTAAGGAGAATCATTGTGTCTGCAGGGAGCAACGATGGGCTCTCACACATGCTAGTATTTATACTTTACTTACTAAAGTACTTTTTTGGTATTTTATCTAACCCCATTTTCATTTAAGTCTGACATTACTACACCATGCTATAAGAAACAACAAATGCCTTCTGTAAAGTATTACCACAAAGGAAATGCTATGGGGTGTATGTACCTTGATTAGAGCGGCACAGAAGGGTTTGAGGACACTCTTGGGCAGCGCAGCCTGTGTGCAGTGTCTCATGGAACGGGCCAGAAACAGAGAGGCCTGCTGCTTAATGGAGGGGTTCTTATTGTCCATTACAGACAGGATGTCCTCTGACAGGTTACTGAGAGTGGTCTGGAAAAAGAATAAATAAAGATCAAATTAAATACAGTAGAAACCAACTTAGATTAGTCTTGTAAAATGCATTAGAAGCTGGTCTGGAGAGTCAGTGAAGTGCTCTAGAAAAACCAGCAGTCAATAAGTTAGGACAGTCTGTAAATGAGGGGTTGCAGCAGCCCTGTACGGTCATACTTGCAAAGCCAACAACAGGCTGACTTTAGAACAGGGGTGGCGTTTTTAATCACAGTAGCTTCAATTAGTTATGCTCAATATACTAAATATTCAATCCAAGTATTAAGATTGTACTTACAGTGAGAAAGATGGCGTCAATAGCCTCCTGCAGGGCCTGGACAACCTGAGGCTTTTTCTCCTTGAACTTCTCCAAAATAGTCGGAACCACCTACGTACACACAGAGCTCCAAGTCAGTGGTAATCAAAGACTTCATTTGTTGTTCCAGGTCAGTCCCTCAAGGAAGTTACGATGGCACAAATTAATACAAAATGCAACCAAGCCGCGACTCGTTGAGCCAAACTTCAAAACAACTCACTTTGTTTCAAGTTGCAAACAGTGCGATTTTATCCTCACTGGAACAAGTTGCCTTCAATTATTAATGAATTATACAAAAATAATTAATAACCACTGTTTTAGCAATTGTCACTTTGTCCCACTATTTTATTGCCAAAAAAATAAAAAGGCCACAAAACATTGCAGCATTCATCAGTTTTTTTGTTTGTTTTTTTAAAAGCTGCTGTGAAATCAGGCATTTTAGGCTGCAAGAGTCCCCCCAAAAAGCCTGCGAAATCCTGGGTCATCATTATACAGGTTATCAAGTACTTTTGTTATGTTAAGTAGATTTTGATACAAATATTTACACATGAACAAATAAACAAAAATCACTCTTTTAGGCGAGAATACAAACTCTTCTCTTGGCATTTTGAGTTATTGCAACAACAAAAGAAATCACAACATAAACAGATTAATTTAACTTACTTGTCCTGCATATGTCCCAAACTTCTTCCTGAGACCAGTCGCCAGTCCAGCCAGACATTTGGCTGCCATTGACACCAGCATCACATTGGCATCTTTACCGACAACCTGGAACATAAAACTAGTAAGTGTACAACATAGAGTCACCAGATCCCCCTCAACCTGAGACCAAACTTTATGTATGATGAGACATTTAGGAATTTTAAAGAGCTTGTCTTACAGGTCCCCAGTATGTTCCCTGTAACTTTCTTCCAGATAGATTTCCAACTTAAAATGTGCTTTACCTTCTTCAGGGCTCTGGCCAGGTCTCCGTAGTCTCCATTCTCCAGTTTGGGGTTCTTGGTCAGAGCCTCTACAGCCTCCAGAGCTTCTTTCCTCTCCTGCCACTTTTTAGCTTCCTGCAGAAACACAGCACTGTCACCACTTGCAACATCTCTGCCTGCTTGTATTGCCCTGCATCAGAGTGCAATTGCTGTGTTCACATTTGCTTAAATGCATGGCCCCAGGTTTCAAAACAACTGGTTCAAACAAGCCAGTGATGTGAATACATACAGAGTCACAGTTTTGTCTTTGGATATCTTAAGAGGCTATCCTGTTTGGCCAGTTAACAGACAGACTTCAGGGGGTTTTGAGCAGTCAACATAGTCAGATAAACTTACTATTTTTTCATAGAAGTCTTTGGGCATCTTGGACAGAATCTCCACAGCTTCCAGCAGTTCATAAGGATCCACTGCTGCCACTGTTTCTACCTCATCTTCTCCTGAAAAGGAACAGGAAAGACTCCACAACATAAAGAAAAGCAACAAAGAAAAACCATGTACATATAAATGTGTTAGCAGTTAGCTACGTAGTTAAACCTACCGTCAGACGGTTCTCCTCCTTGGGCTTGTTGCTGTTCAAACTTAGCCTTCAGGTCCTGCTGTGAGCGAAGGAACCGGGTTTGCTTAGGAGGAGATGAAGGCAGCTTCACCCACTCCTCCTCCAGCTCCTTCAGCTGCAGGGACATAACCAACAGGCATGGTTTAGTTCAACTTGATCCAGAGAGCTGAATAATAAAAAAAGGAGTGCAAGTATGCAATGACGAGCCTGCCCCACCTGTACGGAGTTGATGTTTTGCAGCGGAGGTCTCAGAGCGTCTCTGATCCATTTATAGATCTCTACAGCCAGAAGCTTGGCTTCGTCTCTCACCGCCTTTTCTCTGGACTCAAACTGCTTGGGTAAAATCTTCACCACTGGCTTTAACGTCACTATCTTAGATCCAAACTCACTAGGGGAAGATCAGACCAACAGGCGACAAAGGGTTAGTGTCATTGCCATGATATAGCATATACTATATACTGAAGTACCAGACAAACTGTTTTGGCCTGCATATTGATGTTGATATTTAACAGCTCTTAGGAACGGGGTCAAAAACACCACACCGTTTCTTCTCGACTGTCTTTAAACTTTAGTATTGCATCCTATGAGACGATATTCATAGAAAATTAGTAGCACGTACATTTCAGCATTATAATATGGTACTTACACTAATATTACATTGACAAAACCTATATAACAACCTCATCACCATGTTGTGACCCCATTAATACCGCACTGTATGTTGTACATTACCATTGTACTGTTAAGTTAAATGGTAAATAGACCTGTACTTGTATAGCGCCTTTCTAGTCTTCCGACCACTGAAAGCGCTTTTACACTACGTGCCACATTCACCCTTTCACACACATTCACCCAGTGATGGCAAAAGTCCATCGAACAAAACTAACCTTCACATTCACACACTGATGCACAGCATCGGGAGCAATTTGGGGTTCAGTATCTTGCTCAAGGATGCTTCGACACGTGGCGGGAGGAGCTGGGGATCGAACCAACAACCTTCCAATTAGTGGACCACCCGCTGAGCCACAGTGGACAACCCGTCTGAGCCACAGCCGCCCCTTTACCATAGAGGTGATTCGATCACAAGTGCACACACTTCTCCACATGCGTCTCAAGTGACCACTTGTGACCAGATCTCACTTTCCCACTCTGGATGCAAATTAACATCCCTATAGGGCTGTACAATGATTGAATGTCATAAATAACGTTTCACAAAGTTTACATAGCTTCGTGGTCCATTCTAACCCTGGAAAGTAGCACTGACCTGAGGGCCTTCCTGAGTGTCTCAAGGCAGGCCACCACTATCTTGGGGTTCTTGTTGTCCAGTCCTTTGAGGAGCTCGTCTTGAACTACCTCAGCCTTCTCGATCTCGATGTACATCAGACAGATGTCTGCGCCCAGCTCCTTAGCTCGGGCCTTTGGCTGGTTGAACACTTTGGTCACCACGCCGGACACCACCTCACCTGTCGTTCTGTAGGAAAGAGCATTCATACAAAACACTGACTGTCAGAACACGCAGGACACTTATGGACACAGTCTTATGAACAAGGTTGACTTGCATGTGCTTTAACAAAAGGTCAGTATGCAAAGACATGTTTGAATTTCATCTGATAAAAGCTAAATCAACACGCAGACAGTTTAAACTTGGGTACGTAACAATTGCAGTAAAGACTAAGATTTAGCCTGGTAAAGAGTAATCCAAATGGTGTTTTTTATTCATTTATTGGTTTTGAGTGGTTTTTGCATTGTTACTTTGAACTGTGGTCGGAGACATGTTTCTAAGATAATGTAGTCTAGCTAGGTATAGTAGTTTTCACAGACAGAAAGATTATTTTGTATTTGTGAAGCAGTCTAGTAACGCCAGGCTAAATAAGTTCTACTTATGCCTCAGTTCAAGTACAAAGTCCTTAGATCACTGTACTGTTCACACTACACAACTTTCTTTCTTTGATCAAACTAATGACTAACTGCTGTCAACATCAGACAAACTTATCATACTTTAGCAGTTACCTAGTGATTTCGTAGGGTGTAGCAACTGAGACCAACTTAGGCTCACTGCACCCAAACTCCTTTAAGAAATATCACATCTGAAAATTCCTAACATCTGTAAAACAGCACATAACTCTAGAAACACCAGCTAAAGTCAATTCAGCATCAAAATAATCCATGAAGATAAAGTATTCTGTATAAACTTTATATTTTGTCTCGACTCGGTTGTAGCTGCGCTCTTTCAGTGGGAATGAGAGGCGGACGTTTAAAAAAATAAAATGTATTTCTTAAATAATTAAGTGGACCTGTACTTGTATAGCACCTTTCTAGTCTTTCTAGTCCACACACACACACACACACACACACACACACAGAGAGTTGGGCGGTGGCTCAACAGGACTAGAACAACTACACAATAACTGATATGTGCTTTGGTGTGGCTAGGTCACTGATGTCATTGACGTCACGGTGGATCTTTTTACTTGAAAAAAAGTCGTAACTAATATAATAGCTGCAATTGATTTCAGTTCCAGTGCCCTTGTATCATTAAGGTCATAGCTGCCATCAAAAAGACCTATTGTCTCACAAGTAAATGATGGGTGGGGTTGTGCTGTCAGTGCAGCTGGGAGCACCTGGGCCTAATGCCCCAAGCACTATAGCTTCTCTTCCCTCAGACTGCCCATGCTTTCCTCTTTTGGCCTTCTTCTCTGCAGCATTGTCACATTCCTCTCACAACCACTCACCTACACCACTGACTTCACTGATCACCACACCCCATTCCCTATTAGCACATCCATTATTATTATTAGGACCCCATCATCTCTTAAATTCCACAGTAATTTGGTCAGACAGTGGCAGTTCCTCCACATTCTAACAAACAGCCAGCCTGCAGGATTACAACATTGCAATGTTATTTGTTTATTTTTTGGGGGATTATTTATTCAGTGAACATCCCAGCACCAAAAACGACATCAATATGGTGCGTGCTTCCTTAGTTGACTTAGTTGAGATAATACTGTGCATTAGCTCTGCCGGTCGTGCCATTTATAACACTCAGCCAGGCATCAGGTTACTCTGCTGGTGAACACAGAGGAGGGCTCTAAAATCAATGATACAAGCTTTATTTAAAACTTTTTTTTTTTTTACATTTTAAAAAAAATTGGTGTTTAACATCTCATTCTGGCTGTGCTCAGAGTCACACCGACTTAAAGCCTGCATGAAAGACCCTCATTAAAAAAGGCACATGGAGTTTTTCCACAAAATGTGTAGATTTATGAGCATAATCCCTCTTAATCATCCCCTGTGAGCCACTAGAAGTATTTGACAGTGTCTGTATATGCAGATACTCTGCAGCCCTGCCTGTATTCTTTTATTCTGCCATGTGCCGGATGTCAACTTTTGGGGAGTGACAGAATAATCCGTTACGATGAATGAGCTGTATTTCATTGTCTCACTGGTACCTTAAACAACACACCCTCACTAATGTTAACTGGGCTGTTTTCAGTCTGAATCCTCCAGATTTTCAGACTTTTCATATAAGCTTGCAGATGAAATCCTTGCTGAAACCATTACTTACTTGCCGGCTACATGGGCATTTTCAACGAAGGCCAGGGCAGCCTCCAGGCCTTTAAGCTGAGCCACAGCATTAGAGTCTGTGACAAACTTCTTTATCAGTCCTAGGTACTTCCCCCACTCTGGACTCTTCTCATCTTCTATCCTCTGGAACAACTTCAGAGCTTCTTCATATCCATTTAGACGGGCTTTCCACACCTTAAGAACAAGAGACACAAAGTTAAATCAGCTGTGGTTTGTTAAACCCATCCAGTCCTGCTTCCTTCTCCTGTAAGAAACACAAAGAAATACTAGATGTACATGGACAAACACAAATGTCTTTCCAGGTCCTAGTGGGAAGACTGATGTCTGGATAACAGACAGGGGATGTGACCTACATTCATAATGGCTCTTATTCTCCTCCGTTTGCCGTGTACAGTAGGCTGAGGTTAATTTATGAGGCCCTAGAGTTAACCTGGGCTCTTAACACTGAGTTCAAGTTGTGGTTTGATGATGTACGGACCAAGAAGAGGCCTTTGTTTGGGATATAAAAAGACGAATCAGTAACGTTACATAGCAGTGGAGCAGGAAATTGAGTTTAGCCTGTGGTCAGCATTCTAATTTTTCCCCTTCAACACTGGTTCGCATTTGGCTGCAGTCTAAAATGAACACTCAGGCTCACATGCTCAGGAAGCTAAAAACAATACCTGCTGGGAGTCGTCATTTTTTTAATCTGCCAAAATAATGTTTACTATGCTTGTGGTAGAAAAGAAATGTGTTTTTTAAAATCATGATGATCTAGCATTTGGGGTCTGTGACAAACAAACGTGCTTTCTTACATCTGGAAAAAAAGCTTTGTAGTCCAGGGCATCTCTCCTGCTGCTTGCCGTTTGTCACATTATCTTTATCAAACAAATTGGAGCTTCTGCGATTTCGATAATATTTCCATTAATTGTGCAACCGTACTTTGGATACATGTCAGTAGATACATACATTAATTGTTGGCCTGGGTTATTAGACAATAAGCAAAATATAAAATATCAGCAGCCTCATCCTTTAACCATCCAGGGAGATGCTCAGATGCTGAAAGCTGTTTGAGTGAAGATGAGCTACAGCAAATACCGGCTGAAGCCTAGGAACCATTAGCTGGTCCAACATCGACACAAAAGGAAACACTACGCATCATCATTCTCTCACAAGGGCAGTTTGTCTTCGAAGGAGAAAGTATACGGTTTACACAACAGTCACCTTGTGTTCACATTTCTGGTCGACGGGAAGCTTCATCCACTCGCTGTCGTCCCCCATGGCGGCCACTCGGGGGGCGGGCTTCCCCAAAGGTACTCAACTGGAAAACAAAAGCATTATGGAAACAAAGTTACATTTGTTGCAGGACCAAGTGAACCCTAAAAATCATCACAAAATGACATTATACCTTCTATTAAAGTGCTAAAACACTGTTCAAGCTAATCTTATACCCAATCTGGTAGTTACCACAGTCAAATTACTTATGCTGCATGAATATAGGAGTGTACACTTAGTGATGTACACACATATGTACCAACTAATGAAAAAGTTCAATACGATTCTTTAATACTAGTGATGTAGTCACAGTATCAGTAGTTGTGTCAAAGGTAAAGTGGAACATATGAGCACTTCTGTTTGTTGAAACAAGGCAAATGTGAGGGCATTGCTACTAGAGCCCAACCAACTATGATTTGAGACCACCACCATTACTTGAGAGAATAATAAAAAAGGCACAGGTTCAGTTGGTGTAACCGTCTGTTAAATGTCCTGTCCTGTGAGAGTGCTTCACCAAAGACACTGTATTGTCAGACTTTGTCAATAAGAGACACCAAATCGTGGAAAGTCACTTCTTCAGTTGCAATGTCACTCACTTACTTCTATGTACTCTCCTTGTCTAATGCACATACAGGGAGAGGCTATAGGTTCATATTTCATATTGATCCAACCCAGTCTAGTAAACAGGCTGTATATATCATCATCATCCATATCCCTGCAAAGTGCTGTCAGCTCAGAGCCAGTCTTAAGGCCTCCGCACACCAACTCTATTATCGGCCGTCGGCCGTCGTCGGACAGTCAGGCGAGGTCGGTGACTCGAGTCGG